ACACACACACGTATATATATATACACACACACACACTCACACATATATATATATATAGATAGATAGATAGATAGATAGATAGATAGATAGATAGATAGATAGACAGACATACTGTGATTTTGAGGTTTACTCTTACAGAAAAGATTGCAACTGAGCATTACAATATTTAACCATCAGATGCAAAATCGGCTGTTTTTAATCCCTTGTTTGCATATTCATCCGAAACTGAAACAGCGGCCGACAGCGCCATCTTCTGTTTCCTGCAAGCACACAAACACATGGAACTGTGACGTAAAGCACAAAAAGAGACAGCGTTGTTGTTTCAGCGCTCCCCCTTCATCTAATTCCTCCGTTTGCGGATCTGAACGCATAAGAACGCATAAGAACGCAGATCAGGACGCGCGCGGTTCTCGGATGCCGCTGGTTGTGTTTCGCTGGGGTCTTTTTGTGAGGTTCGCCTCTGACGTCACGGCCCCGCCCACCTTTCGCATTGCCTGAAAAACCACCTCATGCAAGCGTAAAAACTTTTTTGCGATACATGGCGGTTTTATGAAATTGACGCGTTTCCATTAGGCGTATTGACGCGCCTATTGTGTCTGTCACGCGACAAAAAAACTTGAAGTTGATAGTCAGTGCATATTTGTCGTTTCTAGTATAATTCACCAGATTAAACGTATAGTTCACTCAAGAATGATACGATTTACTCACCCTCATGTTGTTCCAAATATGTATTCATTTATTTCTTCTGCTGAACACAAAAGAAGATATTTTGAAGAATGTTGGTAACTGAACAGTTGCCGGTAGCCATTGACTTCCATAGGATCTGTTTCCATGCTATGGAAGTCAATGGCTACCGTCAATTGTTTGGTTACCAACATTGCTCAGAATATCTTCTTTCATGTTCAACAGAAGACAGAAAGTCAAACAGGTTTGGAACAACTTAAAGGTGAGTGAATGATGACAGAATTTACATTTTTGGGTGAACTGTCGCTTTAAATGTTGCTCAGTATAAAAATTATTTGTATGAATAATTTTCCAGTAATTCACATGTGTGGAGAAGTCATACAAACGTATTTATTAGAAGATGAGATGCTCCTCAGCTTTACGTCATGCATCATTTAGAAGTGTAGTCTACTAGATGTTTAGAGCTCGGTTGATTTGTTTTTGCTTGATGAAATGTATTCAGAATAGGAGTGTATTGATCAGGTACGATTGCTCATATGAGTAATGCACAATGTACGTACTGAAGCTAACAAAAGGATGTTTTGAGTAACGAGATGCTCAGATTTTCTGTGCGATGTCTTCAAACGTTGTATTTCACCAGGTGCACGCTTCAGGAGTCTGTAATTGTGCACAATGCCACGATCTTCAGTCTTGTAGTTGGTTTTATTTTCAGAAGGGCAACAGGTAAATCCATTCATCCATTTTCCAAACTGCTTGTCCTACACACTTTTTGTGGCTCCTGAAATAACTTTTGTCATTATTTATCTTGTTTGAACAACATTTTAATAAACCTTTTTCCAAAAAAAAAACCTTCTGTGCAATGGAAAGGTTCTGTGGATGTTAAAGGTTTTTCATGAACCATCAATGCCACTAAAGATCCTTTATTTTTAAGAGTGTAAGCAGGGTGGCGAGAAAATTCCTGTCCAACAAGTAGCATATTGCGTGACGTCTGTATGTAGAGTTTTGTTTTTGGCTTTGCATGGAAAAAAAAAATGTTTAGTGTAGGTTAGAGACGTTCATGATGGATTTCTTGAGAAATCTTGAGTGTGCGTGATGCGTTATATCCCGTCTAGGGTTGGGAACCGAGAACTGGTTCTGTTTTTTTTAAAAGAACCGGAACCGTGAGCTATTTCTAAGTTTCGGTTCCGAAGACACGTTCTGGTGCGACACGTGACCAAGCGCTGTGAGCAGCCTTGCGGCGGCGTTTCCCGTAAGGGATGTCACAAAGTAAAAAACAGAAACGCCGCCATGCCTCTTTAATTACTGAGCACATTGCTTCCCATGACGCGCACTCCACAGACGTCTTTAACTGCCGAACACATTATTTTCCACGAGTGTACGTGCACTCGCGTCTTTGATAACTGTGCACGTTGTTTTGTCTCACTGTACACGTACTGGCAGCGTGCAGCTCCTGCCGCCATTAAATTACATTATATTTGTCCCATACTCGGAATTAGTGCTCTGCATTTATCCCATCCAAAGTGCACACACACAGCAGTGAACACACAGTGGGCAGCCATTTATGCTGCGGCGCCCGGGGAGCAGTGCCTTGCTCAAGGGCACCTCAGTCGTGGTATTGAAGGTGTAAGAGAGCGCTGTACATTCACTCCCCCCACCTACACTCCCTGCCGGTACGAGACTCGAGCCCACAACCTTTGGCTTACGAGTCCGACTCTCTAACCATTAGGCCATGACTTCCTCTGTAGCTGTAGATTCACATCTTGGTAATAGAAACGAAGCCTCAGGCAGAAGTTATGATGTCAGATCGTCAGGTATGTCAATGTTTAAAGCTGCTTTGAGCTTCAATCAAGCTCTCTGAGAAGTCAGCACTCAACCATCAATCACTCTCGATCCGTGTTCTTGGTGAAAGGATCGTAGCGTTTGTCTTTCAGAATAGAGCTGATATCCAGCTGATCTGTATTTTCCATTGAGGTTAATATGTTGAGGTTTGTGTTTGGCTTTACATGGCAGAAAGAAATGCTTAATGTTGGTTTAAAATCCCTGGACGAGTCTTGAGTGTGTTTGTGATTGTCGCTATCATATAAACAGACAGATTGTCCTGAGAGGTGACGTCCAAGTGTTGTGGTCAAGACGTTCTGTTCCTGTTGTCACTAATACAGTAGATAGGGGTAGTTGTTTTAGTAAACGAGTGCAGAAATGGGAAAATCAATCTTTGCTGAATTATTCACGAGTGCAGAAACACTTAATTATCAGCGTTTTGTGTTTGCTGAGGAGCGTCGGTGAATTCTGCTGCTCTGAGGCCTGCTGATCTACAATCACCTGAATATCAGTGTTTTGAAAAGGTTTGCATTGGTTAGATGAAGGACATGAGATGCTTAATGTCAGCCATTAGAAATACTTCAGCAATGTCATGTAGAATAAGCATGAAAAGATTCTTCTTGTAAACCTTGTGCTTTAAATTGGTTTAGTTTATTTTTATCGAATATATGTGCTGCTATGTACTCTGTGGCATTACAGATATTTTCCGTACTGCCCCTTTGTTTACTTTGATTTTCTCTGTCACCGCCCTCCAACTAAAATATGATTGGAGGCGAGGACTAATTAAGAGGAGGAGTATTGTGTATATAGGGCGAGGTTTAGGAGGGTTTTGGAACGGACCAGAATCTGTGTAAAGTTCCCTGTGGAGGCAGTCCTTGGGGGTGGATTTTTGTGCATTTCCGGGGATGGTGGAGAAGAGGTGGTGCTACCTGTTCAGCCTGTTGTTAACGGGCATTTCTCTTGGCTGGCATTTTTTATTTTGTATGTAGCGGATGGTTTTGTTTGTCTGTTTTGCTATCCGGGATGAATGAAATGTAATATAAAATTGTGGCAAGTGTATATACTTGTCTGGCGCCCGAACAACAATAACTTTTTTATTTTTTATTTTTTTTCCCTGAGGCTTTCGGTCTGAGAGACGAGTAAAGTCTGAGCGCTGTACTCGTTAACAACATGACGTGGTCTGACGGTTAGGACACTGCGTCATCACGCGGGTGACCCGGGTTCGATACCCACTTCAGAAAATACATTTTGGGTGTTTAACTTTTGTTATATTTTGGGACAAGACAACCACCGTTACAGAAATGTGGGACAAGACAACCACCGTTACAACTCGCATGCTGTTGGTTCACTTTAGAACTTCATAAAGTTCTACACTTTTATTATTAAGTAAGCTAATTTGATATTGTCATTAAGAACTTTGCTATTTTGACAAAAACATTTTGGATTGTTATTGTAATTAATTAATAGAATTATTTAGCTGTGTTTTTTTAAAAATGTGGCAACCCTTCAACATTGCGACCAGTTATGAATCAGCGTTTAAATTAGTCCATAAGCCAATCAGTAACTACAAATGAAATCGAAATGATTTTGCTGTAATTAGTTTTTCTCAAAACATCTCTATTGCTTTCTCGTGCCGTTACAGTCATGCGTATATATGTATATAAATAACCATTTGATGCATATTGAATGTATTTTACACCATGAAAATGGCGTTTATTTGTCCAAATTTTCTTTTAGATAGCATGGTGAATGTATCCAATAGGGATAAATGCAACGATAACTTTATTCAAAATCTGTTGGATATAAATATCCTCTAACTATCTTGTTTTAATACAGGTTTCTCAAGAATTAGGCAAGATTGAACCTGCTGTGCTCCATGATTGCTAATGTTTCCTACAACAAAGCACTCGAACGCAACAAACTTCAGAAGTAGGACATTTCTGAGCACATGAAGGCAGCATGCGATATAGTCATAATCGCACTAATATTCCTGATTGACATAAAAGACAATTAGTATTCATTAGGGCTGGGCAAAAAAATAGATTTTTCGATTAATTGTTTTTTGAAATGACGTTGATTCGATATCGATTCTCAAAAGCCGCGAATCGATCTTTTCCGGGATTTATTCCAGCACACATTTAAAACAAGATCTGATTAACTTGAATCTTATCATTAGTCTTCTCCACTAGATGTCCCCCTTATTTACCTTGCGCGATGTTACAACGGAAAGCATTCAGTCATTCATTCAGCGCTTCTCATGGCCATACGCGTGATTCGCAATGCTCAGGTGAAATGCTATAGTAATACTATAAATCTGCGGAAGAATTTGATATCACGCACAAGGCGCCATGATTTCCGCAATGAGTGAATGGCGGATGGCGCGGCGCACTGTTTTGTTTACTACACGCATACTAAAGCGCGGATGATGCTCGCGGTGTTTTCAGCTTCTGCCGTTTCACTATATGATGATATGAACACTTATGTCATCTCCAGCTGCTCTGAGAGTCACTTCATTAGCATTTACCGTTTCATTCGAGAAAACTACCATCATATCACATACTGTACACAGCAGCTGCAAGTTCTTCACGGCAACCCGTCAAAATAAAAGTTTAGTTTAACGTTAAATGGTCAGAATATATTACTATTTAGCAGTCTGAAGAATCAGTGCTACTATTGCTAATAAATATTAATAAATCTTTATTTTTAAAGGAATAATCACATCTGTTTTCTTTTTAATTTTAACAGTAAACCTTTGTTGTTCAGCACTTTGATTGCCAAAAAATAAAAGGGTTTAATTTTCATTTGATTAGGATAAATTAA